CCTCGTCCGGTCGTACAATGACCACTTCGGCCAGATCGCCTGCCTTCAAGGCACTGCCCCCTCGTCCTCAGCATAGCTGAGATCCATGGGCATAGGCCCGCTCGACGAACTGTTGGAGTGTGCATTCCAACCAAGTCATGCCGACTTGAAATTGAATTCAGCATTCAGTGCCACATTCACTGCACACGGAAGACTTCCATATTGGACACGCCAGTGCGGAGGCTTTTCATAAAGACGGTCACTGCGACCGCATCCTGAAGAGATCTGCTGCCATCCCGGCAATGAGAGTTCGCATCTCTTGGACAGAGTCCACCAATTTCTCGTTACACTGTTGGGCGGCAAGGAAACGCGATCGCACGCGATACGCCTGATAAGGCGGCGAGAATACTCGTGAGAGCTGTAATTTCAGCTCCGCCCAGGAAGGAAATGCAGCTTCGACTGAAGTGCCGCACGTCAGTGCCCATTTTCGCGCTCGGCCACCAAGCTTGGAGATGGCTAGCGCCACGCGCTGTTGCTCGGTTTGGAGCATGGCGGATGCGATGGCCTTCTCGACCTCTCTCACCCAAAGCAGGAGATTCTCTCCATCCGTCCCCTCAAAGACCTTAACGCTCACCATGAGCGGCTTAGGGCGGAGAAAATCTTCCGTCACTACGTCTGCACTTTTCACGACATTACAAGACTTTTAACGCTTTCGAGGTATTGAAGCGACGGTATATAACGATCGATTGTTAGCCTTTAAATACAAATTATTTCATGAATTTGCCGAATTCCTGTTCTTCGATGAATAATTTTGACAATCCTTTCAGCATGCCCGCAATTTTTCAATAGTCTCAGGAGACTATTTTTACATGAGGTAGATTCTTTAGTATAATGATATGTAGTCTACCATGTACAGGAAGAAATAGAAAGTGGAAAACACTCACGCCAGGGTAATGTGGTGCACGTTTCCAGCACTCTTTCCTTCTCAGTTCTCATTTTCTTCTTGTGTCAGCTCATAATTCGTATTATTGTACCCTGGAAACGTAGCTATCACTATAATTTGACCGATCTAATTAAATACGGTCAAGGAGGTAATCGACGGCGATCATTTGTGACTGATATCGAATTTTATAAGCCAAATTATCTATCGACTTGCCATTTTGCGTCGTAACACTTCCGTTTCGGCAAGTTCGGTATAATCTACTGAGAATCTTTTCTCTGCATTTGCAATGAGCCTTGAGACTTTTTGAGCAAGCAGCAGCGACGGATACTCAACGAGGTAGTACGCTGCAGTGGAAATGGCTAGGATTATAACCAGCCTAGAAAAAAATCGATCAAAATAATTCGCTTGCTGACTTAGTTTCGGGTGGTAAACGACAAAGGAATGTAATAAGTAGATGGAAAAACTGATCTTTCCCCAGTAGCGAAGCACATTCCACTCGAGCATCGACGCTACACACGACGGGTTAATCACTTCTATTACGAGAATGATTGCCAAGAAAGCGCTTGTATAGGGGAATCCTATGGGTCGTGGTGCCGGATTTTGATGTATCCAGTTAAAAAGAAGTCCTCGGAAACAAACACTCAAGAGCATTAAGATTGTCAGACCCTCGATTGCTCGAACGAGGATAATGTGTCTACATCGAAATACAAACTTTGTCTTCTTTATCCACATATCGGCTTTTACATAGACCGTGGCAGCAAGCGAGCCGGTAAGAAATGTTGAGATATGTGGTCTCATAGGCGCGTGACTTTGTCGTTCGCCAAACACACCTTCGTGCACGATCCATACCGTCAGTAGAAGGGCAGGAATCCACCAGAACCGACGCAAACTCAGTACAGCCAAAACGAAGATTGGTATGAGAAAATAGTATGTTATTTCTAAAGGCAACGACCAAAATACGTGATAGCGATACTCGTAAGAGAACGTGAGCGTCTTCACCAAATCGAATGGTGGTCGTTTCCCGATATAGTAACGTCTCTGGTCATCTACTGAGAGAAATGATAGCAGAATCACCGTCACAAAAAACATTGGATATACACGTAAGAACCGTTTTTGGAAGTAATCAGCCAATGTAAATGCCCATGTGCGGACATGCGCGCCTTTGGACAGTAGTTTCATGCTTTTGAGCATGAATAGCCACGTAAGAAGAAATGAAGACAGGACAAAAAAAATATCAACACCGACTGATCCAAGGTGAAGGTTTGGCATGAACTCGTCAGCATGCTGTATGACAACAAGCATTGCTGCCAGACCACGAGCGCCATCGAGAAAAATCACCTTTGTCTGTGCCACGGGCGCTGTCTTGGTTTTTATACCTTGAAAGATTATCGTTTTGTCTTCGACTGATTGTTGCAGCTGCTGATCTCTTGATCTAGGGACTGGAGACGAATTCTTAACATCATTGACAACTAGTTCGAGTAAATCCACCGCGGGAGTCGCATCCAAACGTTGGCTACGTCGCGTCTTTTCGCTCACCATTTTTTAAAAGGCCTTGTGACATTTATTCATCTCATTATAATACGCATAGAGTTCAGATTCCAGATATATTTTGGGTGAATTCACAACAATGCAGCTACACATCTCGTCATATCGAAAGCCTAAATTATCAATTCTCTCTATCTATGAGATTTGATATTAATAGGAGCATCTGAACAAATTATTACAAAAATTACATCTTAGACAAAAATTCGGTAGAATGATTAGAATAGAATATATAAAGCAATTTCATTAAAACATCTTTATGTAAATGCAATATGTTGTTTTTTGGCTGGCAACTGCGACTCGTAACCGGGAAAGTCATATTCAATTCCAAGCGCTTTAAACACCTTGCGCTTCTGACGCTCCTTAGTCACAAGACGCTTGTTGTTTACCACAATTTGTTCGTACGACTTTTCTGCATTATGGCGATTACGATAAATGGCTTGACGTGGCAGAGGTTTAAACTCCTTGTTGGCACCAATGAACATGCGCTCGTGCACATCATTCCACGGTACAACATGGCATTTGAGTGTGTGATCAAAAAGTCGGTACTCGTTCATAGTGTTGGCAACAATTTGTGCCACCTCTGGCTCATCAAATTGAATAAAAGCGTAATGCTTTGAATTTCCTGTGCGCTTGTTACGTGAGAGACGCACACGACGCACGACGCCAAATTGCTTGAAAAAGCCCATCATCTGTTTTTCGTAAAAGCCGTGCGGGATGCGGCCGAGATAAATAACATTCGACGGCATGTCCTTCTTTTTCCCAGCGTGGTTAGTTTGCTGCATTTTGCTCTTGGACTTATTGTCAACAGCCTCTGTAGGTGACGGAAGCTTTACAAGATCATTGCTGGGTTCAAAGGTGCTGGATGCAGTGGCATCGTTAGTTTCGATATCGCTGTCCGAGTCCCACTCGTCACCCTGCAGCTTCTCTAATTGGGTCGTGACCTTCTTACTCACCATGGTCGCTGTTTAGGAAGTGATTGGATGACGACGAGTATTGCTTTGTATACATTTTAGAAAAATTATGCAGATTTTCGTGTTTATACATGTATACGTATCCGAACATATCATAAAGCTTAATGCTATTATTATAAACAAGCGTCGAGTGCTGATTATAGATTACATGTGACTATGGCAATTTCTTGAGTTGAGGTTTCAGTCGGACGTGATACCAAAATGACAAAAGAGCATCGGTCGCAAAATTTGCGACGTACGATGGTCAAAAGCACTGTCGGTCATGTGCAGCGTTCTACATATGACTTGCCCAATGATTCTCATGTGTATGGCTACGAAATTCCACGAGATCCGGAAAATGCTGGACAAGTGATCAGTACGTGGAAACAAGCGACACCATCACCTTCTGCTACTAGCGGGCGCAGCTTTATTGAGACCAATCGTCAGGCTATTTCTAACGGGTGCGTGCGGTATTAAGTTTTGTAAATGCATTAACAGATTTACATGAATTTGTAATTTAGATTCTTGAGCGCAGGCGAGACCCGCAAGTTTGCCAACGAGCATCCAGATATTGTGATAAGATCAGCATTGAAAAGCAGAAGAAGTTCTAAGCCTACAAATGACACAATCCATGGTGTTAAGTCGAAGTGCGTATGACAAGTTATACAAATTTGGTAGTTGTACTAACAAATTTCTTTATTTTCAGAGAATCCGAAGATATTTGGGGTCTAGTCCAAGCAAAGTACACTTCGTACAGCAACGACAATGCTGACTATCCGGACCTGAGTTCCATGAGGGCCAGAGGGGTACTATTATCTTTTCTTTTGAGTCTCGTAAAATATTAAATAACTTCGTTGACGTTCGTGTAGATTCTCCCAATGCCTCGAGAGACACGCAGCTCCATTGGCAAAGACGTTCGTCATTATATTAAAACCCCAGAGCGACATCCTTCGGAACTTTTTAAAATGTCCAAATTCAAAAGTGTAGGCTCTACACTGTATACGCAGCCCACCCCTCGTCATCAAAAAAGAGAAGAGTCTCTTAATATTAAAAGCGCAGAAGATTAAATATAAACATTTATTATCCCCATTTGGGGTTTAATGCGTTATGTCTGATTGGTACAAAATGCAAGTATTCATGAAGATGACGCGTTCGCTACTTATGTTCATGCTGTTTGAGCTGCTCATCACTGCCTTTTACGCAACCTCTAGCAAACATGTCCGTGGTGTATCTCCTTCAGAACAAAATCATTATCTGCACGAATTGACGTGTGCAATGGAGGGAAGAGTCACAACTCTTCCCTTTGATCGAGTAAACGACGAGTTTTGCGATTGTGACGACGGTCAAGACGAGCCAGGAACTGCTGCCTGTTCGTACCTATCAAGCGCCCAGTTTTATTGCGAGAATAATGGTTTATTATCTGAAAAAGTGAGAAATTTCATGTTACGATGGCAGATTGGAGATCTAAAAATTTGTGTTGGTTCGTATAGATTCACACATCTCGAGTCCATGATGGAATTTGTGATTGCTGCGATGGATCGGATGAAGAAGTAGCCGGCAAAACATTGTGTCCAAATTCGTGTATGGCCGTAGCTAGAACTTTCCAAAAGAAAGCGGAGCTTTGGCTTGAAGTGGTAAAGATCGGGCATGAAAAACGACAGACTTTAGTGAAGGGAAAAGTTGCCGAGTATTTTGATAGCGAAGAGAAACTCACATCGGAGACGCAGAACGAGTTGGCTGATTTGATGTTTCTGAAAGATCGAGTGACGATACATAAAGATCGGGAGGAGTTAATCGAAAGAAAGTATAGAATAAATGTGGCCAGGCAGAAACAAGCGGAAGGCCATGAAAAAGAGGATATGAGCCAGAAAGTTTCCGATTCAAATGGAGAACAGGAAGTAGAAGAGGTAGATTTTACGGGACTTGACGCCATCCAAGTATCAAGCGATTATGTATTTGAAAAGTCGGCAGAAGATGAACGCGCGTACGAAATTTTGGATTTGAGAAGAGAAACGATAAAGAGTCTCATCGAACTGCCTGATGGAACACAAATTTCTTTGGCTGATTACTTTCGCATCGACCATAATGATTTAGTGTCCACTAAAAGGTCTCGTATGCTCGTGCGTACAGCTATTGAATACGATCTCAAAGCTGATCATGATTTTTGTTTGTAAGCAGAGCGCCTCCTCGCACTATAGCTGAGATTAGACGAGATGATTTTTTGGGTCCACTGTTTAATGGCGGTGCTGAAGGTCGAAAAAGAATCGGGCTGTATACTCTGCGGACGATTGGTAAGGCCTTTGTGCTCGCATTTAGTGCTGTACGTTGTACCTTACCACAAATGCAACCAAATTTCAATAGGAATCGTCATGTCTCCTCTTCGTGCAATGATTGAAATAGTTTTCTTCTGTCCGAGAACATTGTGGCATTTTCTCTCTAGAGTCAAATTACTACGTCCTGTTGTCGACGTTTTGCGAAATTTACCGTATCCGTCGCGATCTGTTTGGTTCCGCCAACTTGGTGGAGGTAGTGTTTATGATGGGTATAACTCGTTGATGTGGGGCGCTCAGATTGTATGGGATGCACCAATTTATGCTTACAACTATCTCTTGTAAGTTGTCTTGTGTCATTTGCCAAGAATTTACTTATTCAGATTCCGAATGTTATTTCACAGCCCAAAGCTAAGCGACGAGTTCAAACTACCTGTGGCCGAGTCACTGCGTAAAGCGCTGAATGAAATTAATGCTTACGTTGCAAAGCTGGAGAATGAGCAATGTAAGAGGCGTGAGACTGCACAGATGGACTATGGTCCGGACCGTGCGTTCTTTGCACTAAAAGATGAATGCATTGAAAAGCGCATTGAGGTATCAAATTGTATGTTCTGTCTGAAGCTTTGATCTATGACCCTGATAAACGGATTGTGTATCAAGAAATACACATACAAGTTTTGTGCATTCAACGAAGTGAAACAGGATAATACGAGACTTGGCAAATGGGGCAGCTGGGCAGTTGCAGAAGTCACTGACTCCTCTTCAAGCGAAGCTAGTGACATGGTGACATACACAAAAATGCAGTATTCAAATGGCCAGAAGTGTTACAATGGTCCAGACAGGTGAGTTCTGAGTTTATGAACAATTAGAAATTTTGTTACCAATGTGATTGGTTTAGATCCGTAGTGGTGAATTTTCTGTGTGGTACAGATGATGAGATTGTGAGCGTTGAAGAACCTTCGACTTGTGTGTATGAGATGATCGTTCGTTCGCCTCTCGCTTGTTCGTCTCATGTGCTAGCGAAAGCTGAGAAAGACGTTACAATTTGGACTCAAGGGCGTTAGTTCGTGCAGCTTGTCGACATGCAGTAACGACTGATTAGCGTCGACAAAGTGATACCATGCAGGTAATGTTTAAACGATCAATCACGACAATAGCTACCACAAACTCTCTAACTATAACCCGTGATAGCTTTGTTGCGAAACCACCGGCCTGTGGATGATATGATTGATTACATGTTGGACGATATTTCTATAAACACGAGTAGTTTGCGTCCTGGTAACTTCGATAAATACTAACGTGCCTAATAGAGGTCTGAATATGAAGCAATAGAGAAAGCTTGTCGAAGATTGTGACAGTATCTCCAGGTTCAAGTAAGTCCCTGCTTAAGTGGCAAGGGGTAGCGTGAAAGTAGTCCGAGCGAGAAAGAGGATATTAAGGTCAAACATACTGTGGAGAAAAACATCATGAGCTGGGCTCGTAATGGAGAATCTATTGCGAGCCCAGCGTTATTGAAATACATATCACTTCAAGGCATGAATTTTTTGGTAGATGACAATTATACAGCCGTCGCTTTGGGCTAAAAAGGTTCGTTGGCCAAAAGGTTTATCACAATTGATGTTTTCACACAGAGTACCGCACCCTGTTAATAAATAGCTTTAACTGATGAGTCAAATGAATGAATATATGCAACACCAACTGTTCAAACTTTTTGTCCGCAAATAAAATCACGAGAGTATTTCCAGCCGATGAAAAAGCAGCATGTTGGTTTCTATAGTCGGGGAAGTGCTGTACGAGCTGCATACGGACGCTGAAGTTGGAAAGGTTTGCGGCGTATGTACATTGATATAAATGATATTGACGGATAAACTTAGACTTGAAGATAATGAGAGCAAGAAGTTGTGTATCTTCTTGAGAGAATTCGCAATAAGGTGTTTTGATGTGGATCTCGTTTGCTAAATACATTCAGAAAAACTGTGCAAAAAAGAGGAAGCCGTCAAACAGTATGCGATTGATTTCAAAACGATGAATGTAAAAGCACAAGAGCATTACAGCTTCTGATAAAAGTAACCATAACATTAGCTGCATCTTCGGCTACCTTTTTTTTACCCACAACGATAGAATACGAAGGAATTGTGGTGGGTAGCAGCGTCTAACCAATGATTGAGCTTTACATCGTCAAGTGCTCGTGAGTAGTACAGCTGCTACAGATCAGATGGGTTAGGTGGAGCGTACTTCTCAATGCAGGATCACATTTTTTTTAAACTACCAAGACTAAGGTACCTGCATTATTTACTTATAATGATATTTTGCTTCTAGTAAAATTCATTGATTCGTCAAATTGCAACTTGCAATAATATCATTTGCTTCCCTTAAATATCTTTGACGCATGTATATAAATAAGCTGCTGTTTCGACTCCACAAGCTTTCCCTCAACCCACGTGGTTGCGATTGGCTACTAATCCCTCTCTAGCGACAGCACGAGTCACACAACTCGCAGCACATTACGAACACAAGACTGCGCTTGTAGAAATGGCGATAAGCACAGAAAGCCGTCAGAACATCGAAGTATTCCAATTGCAGTTACGCGAGACCATAAACGAAGGCAACGACGACGAAAGTAGAAGTAGTGACTCTACGTGCACGTTGATCAATCTGTCGGAGCAGGAGACGACAACAGTTTTGCAGGATAGTCACCAACAGGTACAGCAGCAAGAGTGTAGTAAAGAGACGCTGTCGTTGGCAAGACACGATCAAACGAGTGAATCAATTGCTATGAGGCAGACCACGCAACCTTATGTTCAAGTGGACGTTTACATCGATGAAGATAGCGAAGAGGAATTTGTAGCAGGTCAGGAGATTAAAATTGATGCAGATAGTGAAGAGGAAGAAGACATTGATGGCCGAGAACCTCATGAAAGACGAAGACCTTGTTTAGTTGCGTCTTCGTCTTCAGGTGACGATGGTAGCACTCGAACGATACGCTGTAGCTTAGATGCAGCAGAATCACCATCCATTCCTGCGGAGGTTGATGACGTTAAAGTGATCGAAGATGTCGTGCAATTACATGAGGCCATAGATACAGTCGAAATGATTGAAGAGCCTGAGACTGTAGAATTTACGGGACCCACAGAGACCCCCGTGCGCCGATCCAAGCATTCTTTTACGGCTCAGCCGTTGGACAATATGCGTGAGTCAAGGCGTGTGGTCCTTGTAACTCGCCCCAGCCAGCGGTATGTTCAGTATCGTTACGAGTATTAATGATTAATAGCTTTATTGATAATGATGAAATGTTTTGTAGGGATATTGAGTTGTGGACAGAGCGCGCGACGAGCACAATAAGAGATAGCAGTACCCGACGAAAGTCTACAAACGCACAAAGGCTTTGTCAGAGTCGGCGATGGGTGTTAGAGTACAAGCCTGTTGTTCGACACTCCGGCTGGCTAATTAAGCGTGATCATGGATTACGTAACTTTAAACGTCGGCTTTTTTGTATCGTAGACAATGAGCTGATTTATCACGATACTCATGATGCGACAGAAGTGCGTGGCCGACTAGATCTCACACGGAAAAGTACCGTACAGTGTATGTTGCACAGCGGCTTTAAATTTGTGCAAGGGAGCAACAGCATGGTTCTTTATGCACTAGACAACCACGATCGCGATTTATGGATACGTAAGCTACAGGAACACAATGTTCAGCTACAACCTCAAGGGGCCAAGATGGCGAGATTAATGAAACAGCATAGTGATAACGCAGACAAAGGCGACCCTATTCTTTTTTCTGGATGGCTACGCAAGCGTGGTCGGATGGTTAAATCAACCAAGCGACGTTGGTTTGAACTGTCAAACACGACGCTTTCATACTTTGCACACCCACAAGGCGGCTCACGTAAAGGCTCAGTCGATGTCTCTCGTGCACGTGTATCTCCTGTTGATACTTTGAAGACGGGGGAACGACATAGCTTCCAGATTTGTACTCCCAATCGTATTCTGTCTTTGCATGCTGACAGTCAAGAAGAGCGAATGCTTTGGCTAGCAGCACTGGCTTCTGTACGCGAACAGACGACACAAAGTATGACAGCACCACACGCAACTGAGTTCTCCATGCCCACGAGTGTATCTGAAATGGGACGAAACTGCAAGTGTGGCGCTCTTGTTGAGGGTGGAGCAGCTTTTAATGGAGTGTGTCGACGCTGTATGTCTTCATTTATTTCGAATACAGAAGACGCCATGGTAGATGTGGCACGCGAAGTACAGCTTCTCTTGGCGTCTCCATACTCTCCAGAAGGATCTACTTCTGCAGCATTTCTTAAGGAACACACTGGCCGCCCAGTATCTAACCATACCGTGCGAAAATTTATGAGTGGTCTTTCGAACTATCTGCTTCATACTCGTTTGAAAGAGCTTCAATTGCTTGCTGGCGTTGCACAGCCAGAGCGCAGCTCCGAATGTGATTATAGTGACGATGGAGATAAGGTCAAACGCATCGACTCAAACCGTCCACTAGATGCTGAGGTGGTCAGTGAGATCACGGATAACATCCAGACGATTGTTCATGAACAAATAGAGGAGCGTGTATTCTTCCCATTGTATCGGACTATTTTGACGAACGTCCGAGCCCAGACACGAGAAGACGCAAAGGTACTCAAAGGAAAAATTGAGATCTTGCGTAGTAAATCGCAGGCATTTTTTGGCATTGGACCTGAAATCGAGTCATCAACTCGATGGCATTCTGCTTGTGCAAAGCTGCGTGAAATTGACAAAGTAAGTCTTCCGTACATGAAACGCGCTCAATTATTGGCAGCATGCAAGGAGATCTACGCCGTTTTTCACAATGAACACCCGACCCAAGCACCTATGAGCGCAGATGCTTTTATTCCAGCCTTCATTTACGTACTCATTCACTCGCATCTACACGATCCTGTAGCTTTGAAAGAGATGATTACTTTTTTTGATTCTGGTGGTCAACATGGTGAAATAGCGTACTTTGTGACGTGTCTGGAGATCGCGTTGGAATACATTCGATCACTTTTGACAGCGTGTACAGTAGTGCTGTCGTCAAAGCGAAAGCTTGGCATTGAGTTCTCTCGACATCCTGAATCAGATGTGGTCATTGTACGTCGATTAATTCCTGGAGAACAGGCACAACAGAGTGGTGTAATTCATGTGGGTGATGTACTTGTCGCTGTTAATGGATTGCCGGTGTATGAAATGGCCCTAATAGAAGTTGCAAAACTCTGGCGTGGTATGGATGGAGAGGCTGAGTTTTGTTTTCTACCGATGCACGAGTATCGGCGAAAGTACTGCACGTAATAGTAGTGACCCTTTGTTTGTTGAAAATGAGTTTCTGCGGCCTTATGGTGGCAATAGAATGAAACTTTTGCCGTCAGCGTTGTGAATTTGTGTACGTAGCGATCGTGCTTTCAGACTGAAGCACAAAAATTGCAGAAATAAACGAGATTCATCGTACACTGTAAATAAAACGCACTATTGTATAGAAGTAACATACTGTCACATGAGATTCAAATTGTTGTGTTATCGAGTTTAAAATCTCAGAATAAGCGTTTTATTTGTACGTAAGTCTTATCATGTCAGGAAAAAATTCAGTGGGGTTGTCAAATGTAAGCAAGAATCTTGCTTTCGCCTTGGGTAACACTTTGGCATCCCTTGGGATGGCTAGTAACCCCATCCGGTCCCATTTTACTGCGTAATTACAGAAACCGGTGCTCGGAGGGAAACTGAAACCGATTCTCGTACGCTTGTTATCTGAGTAGCTAACAGAGCATGTACCCTTTAGCAATAAGAATTTTTTATGCTGCTGCAATCAAAATATTCATCTATTTAAACTTTGGGCTAGCTAGAAAATTACCATGTAAATGTATTATTGCACGACCGTATAGAAAGTTCGAGTAGACCTCAAAACCTACACCCTCTACCTTCAAACAATCTCTCAAATTGCTTGTCCAGTTCGCGTTCAGACTTGTAAGAGCTATATCGTTGTAGCCGCGGGTCTCTCGGTTCCGGTTGTGTTGCAGTTGCCATAGTTAAGGATCTAGATGATCCTGCCGCTGGCAATGGCTGTGTTGGAAACAAGTTAAGTCTCCATCTAAGTAAACCAGGAGGAGTT